GGGGGGGTTTGTTGGTGTGGGTTTTTTTAATTTGGGTAACACTGATGTGGAGAAGGTCTTGATACCATTAAATCTTGGGTCTGTTGCTCTACAAAATGTGAACTCTTAGAAAAAAGAAATACACTTGCCAAATGAGAGCTTTTAAAAAAATCTAGTTTACAAGATTCTAAAAAGTTGGAGTAAGAGAAAAAAGTCAACAGCCCATAATATTTTTGTCCTGCAGGAAGAAGAAACTTCTCATTTCCTGATCTTAGTCAAAGGTGCATTTTCTTAAGCACTAAGTATCTTCAGTTAAATATAAGGTTTTTAATACAAGAACAAATTGTGCATGTAGACTATTTTGAAATACCTGAGATTTCCTAGTAAAAATTGCAGCCTTTTAATACTGCATAGGTAGTGTCAGAACTGCTCTGAAAATATTGTACTTACAGCCGTACAGTAACTTACTATTTGTGGACAGTTTCTCTTGCTTGCATAATAAATTAAACATTTAATAATTCAATGAATTAAAATCTATTTTCATGTATTTATCTTACACTGAGCTGTGTTCTGTAATGCTCACTGGTTCCTGTCTACTCCCTCTCAACTAACAGGAGAAAAAAAAAAAAAATCAGTTCCCCGAGCAGAATGACCACTGCCGGACAGGGTCTCTCTTTCCGCTTTCCTCATCCTTGTTGCTGCCCTGCGGCCCCCGGCCTGGGCCGGGGAGCAGCTCAGCCCGGAGGCCTAAAGAGCAGGACCCTGGTTGGGACCAGTCTGATAATTACAAACTGAGTGTAATTAACTATTCCCCTGCCTGAGATGGTATCTGTGGGGTAGGAACTCCTTTTTTTCAAACGGCAAACCCTCGGAGGCAGCGCTGGTGTTCCCACAGTGGTGTGCAGGCACCTGCCTGCCCACAGCCCATGGCCTGAAACTGGGAAGGATCCCGTGGGCTCTGCCGCAAGCATCCATGTCCGGGGCTTGAGGGGGGCAGGTGGGCGATGCCAGGAGTGATGCTGCCCCCTCAGTGGTTTGAGCTCCCATGAAGTCGCCAACCCCAGTTCTGCCCCCGCGTCACCTGAAGGACAGAGGGGTGTCAGGCAGGACGAGTTGGGGTGCTGCACCCGCTGTGCCTGTTGTGGTGTTGTCAGCCGTTGTGTTTCCTGTAAGCAAGGAACAACACACGCAGGAACAACAGGCAGTGGGGCTTAAAGAGGGGGCAGAGGGATATAAGCAAAGCAGCTGAGTCAACAAGCACACTTTGTTGCCCAGGCTTTACTGTAAGCTACTGCTGCAGTTCCCGAGTGTGTCACAGATCCAGCTCTAATGCTTTTCTATCAAGTTTTCCTGAAAATGAGATGATGAGTCAAAGTTTGACTCTGAACCTTTTACCTATACAACAGCCTTGCACAGACCACCAGTTAAACTGTGCCCTGCCAGAAAATAACATGCTGTATATCCAGTTTACCTACCTGAACACTGCAGAAATGCTGCTTGGGCTTTGCAGCGCTTGTGGCTTTCTCTTTCCCCCTCATTACACACTGTAATAAATGAGGGGAAGGCTGTCCTGCATTGTTAGAGCTGCGATGGCATTAGTTTCTACGAGAAAAGCCTGACTGGACTGTCACAGCCTGACTGACCTGACATTTGTTTCTCACAGCTGTTGCTGGAGCGTTTTCCATCCCCACTACTTTCTCAGAGCTGTTGCCTTTGTGTGTGTTTTCTTACCCATGCAAAGGTTGGCGTTCTCCCCACCCCAGCTTCAAACAGCCAAGAACTGGCCAGGCTTGATTACCTGATTAGCATAAAACAGGTATACAGGGGTCTCTGCAGTAGCGCTATGCCTCAGGCCCCACAGGGCAGTGTTTTGCAGCCTTGTCCTCCTTTGTGAGGTCACGACCCAAAAGTCAGGGCCTATCGGTCCTTTTCTCGGCAGCACCCGGTTACTGTTGGTGGAACTCCCCGTCCCTTCGATCGCTGCAGCCCCCCAGGAAGAGCCGCCGAGGCACCGGCAATAATTTCTGACGTTCTGCCGCAGAGGCTGGTCCAACCTCCCGGTCGGGCCCAGCCGTTTGTGACCGCAGCCACTGCAGCGCGGCCCCGCCGGCGCTCGGGGCAGGGTCCCGGCCTGGTGGCAACGCGACCGCGGGACGCAGCAGCAGAGCAGGGACCCCGCTCCGGGCCGGCGAGGGGGCAGGGG